CCACAGAAATCTCATTTCCCTATGTGGTGTTTCCTTATTATGAATGTGTCAACAAACATGACCACGTGGACCCAAAGTGGGTGGGTGTAGGTGAACTGTGGAGCTGTGTGAGGAGGGCGAACCTACACTTACACTTATCCACACACCTTCATTGGGGGTGATTATACATTATCCCTATACTGATTTACTATTGTCATTCTTGATCTGAACATTGAGCTGCTAAAAACCTAAACCCCAGGCAAGCTCATTTTTATTTTACTTTATAATTCTGCTTTTGGCCAAAGAGTCTCAAATCTTTTCTTGACTTCGGGTTACATCTATAACTTCCTGCCATCTATGTAGCCAGACGGGCCTTTTCCCTACTAATTCCAGAAAGTCTGAAACCAAACTTTTCATTTGGTGTCAGACCAACAAACCATGGAGAAATGGCTGAATATTGTTCAACAGAGGCTTGATGTACTGCGGCCAATCAGGAGGATTCCTGGAGTGGGTTGAGTGTCTCAAGGGTGGTTCAGCCTCAGGGCTCAGAGGTTTTGATTCAGTAGTTGAATGTTGTAGTAAGTCATTTCTGGATGGCTCTACAGTATGTGGGTCAGAAGATGGGCTTTCTTCAGCTCTCGGGGTCTCAGAAGATTAGCAGGCTCACAGCAAATGTCCTGTGCCTCGCTATCCATAACTTGTTCCTCTTCAATAGGTACACGTTCTCTGAGGTAATCTCACTCTCCTCCTCAGTAGCAGATACTGCTGGGACAATAGGCTGGTTGATGACTGGAACAGGTTGCTGAACAGTGGGTAAGTCAGTAAGCATTGTGAATGTGACAGGTTCAGCAGATAAAGGAACAGGTAGGTATGAGAAGAGTTCATGTTCATCATCATTGCCATCATCATGTACAGGAGACACAGGTAACAGAGGTGGTGTAGAGGAAAACCTGTTATTTTACTGTTACTCGGTTATCATTTACAGGCACTGTCATTATTTCATCATTACTTCATTAGTCTGTATTACTTATCTTCAGTTTATCATGTATCATTTATTGTTTATTTCAGAGCACGTAGGATAAAACCCATTCTAGATGTAATACTCTATCATGTGGCGAAAGCACCTCTCGAGCTAGAGGGTCCAGTTGGGCCTCCTGCAGTCACTTGCAGGCTTACACAAACATGCACATACAGAGTTATGTAAAACACGCACGTTCACATACACACTTAATAAGAACAGAAAGGTCGTCTTAGGACAGTCTCTCTGAGAGCTACACTATCACAAAGTGCACAATGTAATACACACTTGTTTTTCTCTAAAGTAGCAGTTGATGTCCATATAAGGAGAACTTTTTGAGTGCGAGGAACTGTTATCATTGCCAGTAAGGTCTAACTGTGTGACGTCATAATGACTATAAAGCTTTCTGTCTTTGTGCAAACGAAGAAGAAGTCCGGCTCTTCCCACACTGTAATGTGTGTTTTAATAAATGATCTTGCTGACCCAAACTATATCCCAGTCGTAGTCTCTTCCTCAAAATCCGAACCATGACAGTGGTTTCCTCTTTTGCTTAGTGTTTCCTTTTTGGAAAGAGGTAAATACCCACATAGCAGTGAGAGATCACGGTGTAAAGCTCTTATGAGCATCAAAAGACAGAGATTGATCAAAAACTAACACAAGATTCTGAGCAGGAGCTTTTACCATCAATGAGAAAGAACCCAGATGTTGTCTAATTTGGGGCTTGATACTCTCTGGAGGAAGAATTAAACACTCAAGCTTGTCTGCGTTCAGCTGCAGAAAATTGTTTGTCATCCAACCATTAATTTTCCTTAAGCCAGTCCATTAGAATGCATAATTTGTCTAATCCCAAAGTTTAAATGAGATGTATAATTGGATATCGTCTGCACGCTGATGGTAATGAAATAATTTTGAAACTGCTAATGATACGGCCTAAAGGCAGAACATATAATGGAAATAACAAGAGGCTTAAAACCGATCCTTGTGGAACACCACATGGAAATTCAGCTTCATGTGACCGAAAGTTTCCCACTGAAAACAAAAATGTTATATCCACCAGAAATGAGGTGAACCATTTTTGGACAGATGCAGATATCTGATGATCAATGGTTTCAAAGGCTGAGCTGCAACAATATGTTTATTGAGTTTTTATAACACTTAGAATACAAATCAAATAAATCATACACAGGAATATGAAAAAAAAAAGTTTAAAAAACAAAAACAAACAAACAATCAAAAAACAAAACAACAACAACAAAAACAGATGGACTATACCAAGTGTCATTCCACCATATCCCTCACGGTTATATCACTCCGTTATGTCTCTCTGTTATGTGACTCCAGGTTCCCCGGATTCCACCAAAACTTGTGAAAGGTCCACTCCTTCCAAGTATAATAATAAAAGGTTTCCAGACAATTTCAAACGAGCTCCTTCTTCCCTTTCAAAATATAGGTTATCTTTTCCAAGCCAGAGATGAGGACATGTCCGTAACCAATGCCCAGGTTTTGCTCTATCAACTTTTCTCCAATACAATGCAATTAGACATTTAGCAAGAGGCACATATTTATAGGGTCCTATTTCTTTTGAATTGTAGGAGTTGGTGACTAAAGTCCCAATATAAATAATTTGGGGTCTGGATTTAGAGTTCTATTTAACATAGTATTTATTGCTAAAGTTACCTCCCTCCTAAACTTCGGTATCTCCTCACATTCCCATAAGCAGTGGAAAAAAGTTCCCTTTTCTATACCACATTTCACACATGTATCCAGGATATTATTATCAAATGAATGTAACTTAACAGGGGTTAGATAAGTTCGCATGGACCAGTTAACTTGTAAAAGCTGCAATCTTGTGTTAACGGTTTGAGTATGACCTTTTAAGCACACTGATTTCCATTCCATTCCATTCCATTCGTTCTGCCGGCCAGCAGATGATTCAGTAGAATTGGAAACAAATATGAGATCTTCTTTTTTCTTGTGCTGCCATGATTAGTGCCTCTGTGCTGTCTTTCAGTCCAGCTTTGTTCTTCCGCTTAGCGTACAGCCTCAGGGTGCTGGACTTGGGGTGAAACCCTCCATGCATGGTAAGGAACTTTCTTGTCTTTATGTCAGTGGCTTCTATCTCCTCCTTTGGCCAACTTATTATACCAGCTGGGTACCTGATCACGGGCAGGAGCGTAGGTGTTGATAGCCCGGATCTTGTTCTTACCGTTCAGCTGACTCCTCAGGACTTGCCTGACCCTCTGCAGGTAGTTGGATGCTTGCCAGCTTTCCTAGCGGCCTCTTCATGGTTCCCATTCGCCTGCGGGATCCCCAGGTACTTGTAACTGTCCTCTATGTCTGCAATGTTGCCTTCTGGTAGTTCGATCCCCTCAGTTCTGACTACCTTCCCTCTCTTTGTTACCATCCGACTACACTTCTCCAGTCCGAATGACATTCCAATGTCATTGCTGTATATCCTGGTGTGTGGATCAGTGAATCGATGTCCGTTCACTCTTGGCATACAGCTTGATGTCATCCATGTACAGGAGGTGGCTGACAACTGCTCCGATTCCGTAGTCGGTATCCGTAGCCAGTCTTGTTAATGATCTCACTGAGGCACCTATGCAGAACAGCAGTGGGGACAGAGCATCTCCTTGGTAGATCCCGCACTTGATGGTGACTTGTGCTATGGGCTTGGAGTTGGCCTCTAGTGTTGTACGCCACATCCCCATTGAGTTCCTGATGAAGGCTCTTAGGGTCCATGTGATCTTATACAATTCTAGGCATTCCAGTATCCAGCTGTGGGGCATTGAGTCATAGGCCTTCTTGTAATCAATCCAGGCAGTGCACAGGTTGGTCAGTCTGGTCTTGCAGTCTCGGCTGACTGTTACTAGCTAGGGAGACTCCTACGTTAAGAAGTGGCTCGGACTTCCCAAATGCCTCAGCAGCGTTGGACTCTACAGCGACGGGATACTGTCATTGCCTATCCCTAGCCTGGTTGAGGAGTTTACTCACGGACGCCCGGGACCCCATAGTGAGAGGCACTGCTCCCACCCTAGCAACGGGGAGAAAGTGGACCCCAGCCACATCTGTGCTACAGGCGAAATCCGCTCTTCGGCATCGTGACATGGTGGGTCACGCCAACAGGGCAGAGGAGGATTTGGTCTTTGCGCAGTAACACCTCGGTGGCAACAGGCATCTGTAACCGAACGTCGAAAAATGGTGGTGGAGGAGGTGCGTCGTACAGGAGGAAACAGCCAGACATGCCAGAGCCGTGGCGCTGGCCAAACAGGGTCGCTGGGTGAATTGGGAGAGTGTGGAAAAGAGGAAACTCATGGAGTGAAATCTGGGGCATGGAGTCTAATAGACTAAGTTTCATCATCCGAGCGACATACGATTAGTGTGTGTGTGTGTGTGTGTGTGTTAATCCCCGTAGGGAAATTACTCCTCTGTATTTAACCCATTTACCCAGTGAAGCAGTGGGCAGCCACCAATGCAGCGCCCGGGGAGCAGTGTGTAGGGACGGTACCTTGCTCAGGTGTACCTCAGGGTAGCCGTTCAGTGGAGTCGAACCTCCGACCTTCCCCAATAAATCTGCAGCTGTGGTTTGGAAAGGACCCATCCTGCCCCCTGTGTACAGTCCCAGCAACACTCAAGCACATCTTGGTTGGTTGTAGGACTAGCCTTACTCAGGGCAGATACACATGGAGACACAACCAGGTTCTCGGGTGTCTAGCTGAGAAAGTTGAGTGCAAAAGAAAATCCATTAACGCTCAACCTTTCATGAACCAAGAGGAGCATCAGTTTTCATAACATTTGTCCGGGAATGAGACAAGCCGAGACAAGCCCCTCAACCCCAGACCTTGGGCCGCTGAAGGTGCCAGGGATTGGCAGATGCAAGTGGACTTGGATCAGAGGCTAATTTTTCCCACAGAGATCCGAACAACAACTTTGCGACCAGATCTCGTCCTTTGGTCTAACTCCCAAAAACTTGCATACATCTTTGGGCTGATGGTACCATGAGAGGAAGCAATTTAGGAGGCGTTTGAGCGCAAGAAGCTGCGGTATGCCAACTTGGCAGCTGAGGCAGAGGACAGAGGCTGGAAGATCAAGGTGCGCCCGGTGGAAGTGGGGTGCAGGGGCTTTGTTGCCAGTACAACAGCAAAACTGCTTAGAGAGATTGGGATCAGAGGACAGGCGCAACGGCAGGCTATAAGAGAACTAGCTAACACTGCTGAGAGGACCAGTCACTGGCTATGGTTAAAAAGGGCTGACATCACTTGGGCAGCTAAGGCAGTCAGCTAACCGCGAGAGAAAATAAATATTCCGCTCTTCTCCCCTCTGCTCTTCTTCCCTTTTCTGGGAGGCAGTGGGGAGGTAGAGCTACAAGCCCGATCCGGCGGGGAGGTGTGAGAAGCCAGATCGGGCGCCCCCCTTCCGACTCTCTCTCTGCTATCTTGTCCCTTTTGTCTTACTTCTCTCGTTCCCCTTTTCTATCCCTTTGAAGAAGTGAGGCTCCATAAATGCTAAAGAGGTAAGTATTATTTCTCAGTTGCAGTGAATAGATAGAGAAAATAAACTGTAGGAAACTAAACAGAAGAAAGAAGAGAAAATAACAATTTAACATAAACCAGTGACACACTCCAGGGCCTGATCAACCCTGGCAGGGCCTCCTTGATGAGGGTGTCTAGTGATAATGGCCGAAACACCTGATGAATCCAAGGTCCACTACTGACGATGTGTCCCAAATTTAAAATGATAATTAGATCAGATCTCTAATCCCTAAACCTAACCAAGGAAGGAAAATGGCAGATTAGCCTGGGTAAAAGACCGAAAGTTGAGGCACACAACGATGTGTGCTGCTGGCAAAGTTTCTGGGCTGCCTTTCCTTCATAACAGCCATCCCTCAAGAGTCTCTCCATCTAAAGCAATGCTTATCAGGGACTGTAACATCTAGTCCTTTTTACTGAATCATTGTCTTTGGTGTTGCATCGTTGTGAATTGTGTATGTGGCTTTTTACCAGCCTTCAGGTGCATGGAGTTTCATTTTGTTGTAATCATCCAGTTGAGAAATACCTTAAATCACACTAGGTGGTTTCATCAGCTAGTGCCACACAGAAAATACTATTTAATTGCTCACAAGAAAGTCAGCAATCAGATTAAATATGGTTCTTTGAAACCACTGTAGTGCTTGAATACAAAGAGAATAGAGTGTTTCTATTTGCTGCCAGGTTAATTGTGTACAGCGCTTTTGAGTCTTTTCAGTACAGAGCTAGGTGGATCATTATGTGCAGAGGCAAGATAGAGAACTCTATTAAGCAACTCAGAGCACAAATCATTTATCATTCAGTGCACTAGAATATTTATACAAGCATTTAATTTAGTAATGAAAAGCCTTTCAGCTGCAAATTAAACAGTACTCCATCTTTAAAAAAGAATTTAGCTTACTTGCTTCATTTACTTAACAAGATTTGACCCAGCATCTCTCAGGGTTTAATAGCTAAGCAAATACAGACAAAGTGGATGTAGGTAAGTGGATATAGGGCAGCCTTTCTCAAAGTTCTTCTTCTTCTTCCCAAACAAACCTGTTTGGGTCGGTTTGTACTTGGACCGAGTCATTTGTTCTGTCATTTGTAGTACACTTCTCATATCCACCTCCACCTACAGTTACTCGCTAACGCTTTCTTGCACAGTCATTAATGCTGTATTACCTCAGTGCAAATGCACACGGCTCATCATCATCCAGCAGCTCTTTCATATCTTCAGTCTTGGTGCCATTAAGCTCAGAAGCAATATGCAGTGCAGGATACGAATCTCCTTACATTCATCTTAAACTCATTTACTGTAACCAGCCTCAGAACTCTTCACCCATACTTAATATCATCAAGTCTTAATTAATATTGCTGCTTAATTAAACACTCGTATACTCATATTTAAGGAATGTAGCAGGAGATTGAGGAGGAGGGAGGAAGTTCTCATCCGTGCTAGTAATTGTCTTTGCCATTAGCTTGATTCTATCTGTCACTGCATCTGGCTGAGATGAACTTTCACTAATGTTGAGCCCCTCCTGGTTTGCACAGGGGCTCCACAATCTGTTATCTGGTGCCTGCAGAGCATCATATTTAGCTCTATGGGAAGCTAAATATCAAATACTTTTTACATCATTTGATGCCTTACATTTATTTGTTTACTGTAAAATCCACTGGTGTGGTTTCTTCCAAAAGCTGTATAAATAAATCAGTAAAAGTACCAGTAAGGTGCACAGGTTTGCTCCACTAAAGCTGAGACGTGGTTCCACAATTCAAAAGTTGAAGTTTCTTGTTCTGAAAAACACACATTCAAAGAAGGAGGGAGACGGACTCAAATGCAAAGTTAACCTTAAATTATTAGTCGCACACGTCGCTGCTCAAGCAGCAGAGCAGCAACGCTGAATGCAGCTGACCCAAACAATACCAAAGAACAAAACAAAAAAGACTAAACGAGCACAAACAAGCACAAAACAGCAGTAACATCAGGCCAGCTGAACTACTCCACCTAGACAGGAGGGAGGGCTTCCCGACCCCACAGGTGACACAACAACAGTATGATTCTCACCTGGGAGGTAAACTTCACACCCCAGCACCAACAGGAGACAGTTTGCAGGAGTGGACCTGTGCACATGCAAAACACACCAGGAAATGTGACGTTCAACCATCATGTGACACTGACATCAGCGCAGGGCACTTCGTTGCTTCCGTGTCACTCGTCATGTTTCTGGTCATTCTTATTAACAGTCTTAATGTTTTTGCAGGGCCAGACAAATAAAGCACTACTTTAGAGGCAAGCACTTCAGTTTTTGTTTCATTATAATGTATAACTCTGCATTCTTGTGACCTCCAAATAAGGAGCTTATGGGATCAGCAGTGGCATAAATATTGCTAATGTCTCATTCAAAGTCTGTCTCTTTGAAACATTACATTGTATTTATGGCTGGCAATCAGTATTGATACCCTTGTGAGGCCTTGCCAGTAGTAATGCAAATTGATGCCAAGTGGAAGAGAGGAGAAAATCAAATCATGAGACTGAGCAGGATGCCCAGGAGCTAACCAGGCAGAGGCAGAGGGACACCTGAGCTCTCCAATATGATTATTCACTGGGATAATAGATCCTGCCTAAAACACAGCCTCTGTACACGACACAAATACTGAACAACATTTCAACTATTACAGTGTTACCGTCAGACTTCAAAGACAGACGCTAGCACCCATGCAACTCTGGCTTCTCATATTCATATCACACACATGTGCCAAAAGTAAATGAAACAAAGGCACAAATACAGCAGCTGAAATGAACTGACACACACGCAGGTGATATCTAATTCAAGCAAATGTCCCATCTTTACCCTGACCCCGCGACCCATCACGCAGGCCGCCGCTGCAGGCCGCCGCTGCAGCGTCTGTTAAAAAGGAGTTCTTCCTTCCAGACAGCACAAAGTGCTGATCTGATTGTGGGAGCCTGCTCTCTAACGTTGTGGTGTTTACTGCGCAATATAAATGACTTTGAGGTGATTCTCAGTTGGCCATGAAAACACTGGATGATGGACAGTATTAACACTACAGCCTTGCAGGGTGGCTGACCTGGTATATGTGTAATTAATGACATTTAAATGTTCTGCAGCCTGGCACACAGGGTACTGACTCTGCCTGTGACGATGTGTTGCAGACACACGGGGGAGCGGGCCCAGTAATTCGTCCTGTTGGTGCAGACGGTGTTTGTGAGAAGTGAGGTAGCAGGGACATGAGTGGATGAGTCACCAAGGCTGGATTCCATTAACACAGGGCTCTGAGAATAAAGAGGAGGAATCTGCAGTGAATTGGGAGCCTGCAGAGGACAGGTGTGATCTTTTGGTGAGATGGTATTGAGGTAGGCTCCTTATTGCAATCCTTTTTTCAATGAAATCACAGAAGCTGACATTTACGTTACAGAACTTGGATCACACCTTGAAGTGTGTGTGTAGCTCCATTCATTTCTAAGAAAAACACAAAAAGAAGTGAACAGTGTTTTTTATTGATGAAGTCCAAAACTCTCCTGCTGGTTCTCACTCCAGCCAATCACAGCAGATGGCCCCGCCCCTCCCTGAGCCTGGTTCTGCTGGAGGTTTCTTCCTGTTTAAAGGGAGTTTCTCCTTCCCACTGTCACCAAAGTGATGCTTGCTCTGATT